GGGAAAACCTGTTGATGTGGAGGGCAAAGGAAAACCCATTGTTGTGGAGGGGCAAGGAACAAGTGGCGAGCGATTTGTGAATGGTCCTGTTGGGGCTGAGTTCGTATTTGTTGGTGCTAGTGAAACTAATGATCCTTCTCCTAGTACAACTAAGAAGAGGAAGAGGACATCTGTTATGACTGAAGAAGACTCAATCCAGGTTAACAACATGTCTGATGTTGTGCGTGAGATTGCAAGTGCTATCAACAACACATGTCATACCGAAACACACCCTGAGTTGTACAAGGCTGTAATGGACCTTGTTGAGTATGATCTCGCTGAGAGGTTGGCTGTTTTAGATTATCTAACTGAACATAAGGAAAAAGGCCTTAATTTTGTGAAGATGGATGAGGAAGTCCGCAAAGCATCATTCAAGCGTATCTTGGAGAAGAATCCTGATCTTGTTTGAGTTGATGTTAGTTGGTGCATTTTTAGAACTATCCCTTTAATAAGTTGAATTTGGAATGAGACTATATGTAATATGGATCTAAAGATTTATTGGTTCAACCAAGTTACTTTTCTTAATAACTTGGTGCTTAAATGGTTCAACATGTCTGTTGTCGTTCGATGCCACAAGATTTCTTTAAGTGTATTTGTATCTGTCTCACAAAAATCATGCACGCATGCTATGCAATTTTGCCTCTATATAAAATACACCTACCAATTTTCACATGTTCATTCTTTATGTTTGCGAGATGTCGTGTTGATTCACAGATTTTTTTTAAGAATGAACAATATTATGTATTTATTATTAAAAAATAAATTAATAATTGCCGACAAATATATATGTCTAAATATTTTAAGTGTTATTTTTTTCTTCATATTTACGTAATAAAATGTTGGTCAAATGATGTATGCCGCCAAGAACCCTTTGAATTGTGCACATGAATTTTTATCATGTATTTGTAACTATGGTATCCTCACCATCTCAGATACAGCCTACCAAACAAAGTCTAAGCCCAACATGTTCTGACAGATACATGCTACCAAACAAAGTCTCAACTCAGCATGTCCGTACACATGCAGGCTACCAAACAACTGCAGTTGTATGTATTCAGCATGTCTGTACTTAACATGTCTCAGGAGGGAACACTATGACAGGATCATGCAGGCTACCAAACACACCCTTATAGATCCAGTGATGTTAGTCACTTGTTGTGTCTCCTCTATGTGGACTAGAGGGTTCAAGGTCCTTGCAGTTAGTTGAACCATCTCTGTTCTGAACCAACAACTCTATTGGCATGAAAATCAAGTGAATGATCATGCAACAATTTGTTTTGTATCATCATAAATATAAGGTTCAAGGTCCTTGTGGTTAATTAGTCTTATGATAATTTTTATTCGACTGACAAAAAAAGATACTCCCTCTGTCCCAAAATATAAGAATGTTCTCAACATTACACTAGTGTTAAAAACGTTCTTATATTATGAGATGGAGGGAGTAGTTCTTATGTGGGGTTTGTTGCACAAAATTTAGAACTTATGAATCTTGATGGAATTTTTACTACAATAATTCTCAAAGTCATACATGTTCTAAAGGTTTAGTCACTTTTCCCATGTAAATGTCATATATTCGACCTCTTCGAGATAATTTTGCACAAGTCTTAACCAATGTTGTTGGCCCCTCTCCAATCAACTAGCATCTATTTTTGTTTTGCCGTGTGATTAGATTAGGAAAGTAATTGATTTGTGTTATAGGTTAGAAGTTGTAGAAGTTCAGCCTCATAGGTGGGCGGGCGTTCCTGCGCACATGCGTGTTTAGAGAAAAATAGTTATAAAAAATAGGCACGCCCCCAACCCTTCAACCCTAGTTGCCCAGAAGAGATCTAGCGAGAGGAGGGAGCAGGCGTCTCGTTACAGGAGTTCCGTCACCTCCGTTGGCTGCTCCGACAGTGATGATGGAGGGGGGCCATGGGGCCTTGTCCTGACTCCTGAGTGTGTTCGGTTGTCTAGGTGTCGTGGGTGGATGCTTTGGATTTCTCATATTGGCATAAAGTTACTGGTCCTATTCTTCCTACTCTTTGCAATGGTAGTGCTGCATGCAGGAAGTGTTAAATAATTAAGCAATGCCCCATTAAGCTTAGTACAGAAAAAGGTAGATAAACCATGATAACCGTAATGGACATGATAACAGAATCATCAAGTAGCAAAGCGATGAAACTAATCATCACTCAGGTACATAAAAGGACAAACATCATACACATATCGATTGTTACTAGTAGTGGACCTAACGCAATTTCTAACAGAAGTGTGAATAACACGTACAGTGTGGTGGAAGAAGAGCCGGGTGCATCAGTCGCCATTTCAACGAGGAGATTATCGAGGTTATGGAAGTAATCATCGTTGGGGTAGGTGTCATGCACATCCACGATGAAGAAAGATCCAGTAGTCGCACGAGAGCGCTCCCCAAAATCCTTAAAGCCCCTCATGGGGTGGGAGGTTTTATTCTGCTAGATGGCCCCGAAAGCCTATTGTTCCACTTCGCGGTGCACACCTTGAAGCGGAGTGGGAAAGATGTAGGCAGTGCAAAGATCTAGAACTGGGAGGCAAATACATAGGAGATGAATTGGCATGCATCTATCTATGGAGGATGAGAGACCTCTAATAGGCCCTGAGAAGAGAAACTGAAACACGAGGAGACAAAAGGGAATAGTCTACAACTATTAGGTATTATTTTCCACTAGTACAAAAACGTTTCAAGGAGACAGTGAGGAACAGTCCACCACGAGGATACATGGCATGGCATGTCGAGGCAAGCAAGCCTACCTTATATGTTGGTCTGACACATCCTCCACAACCAGGGTGGGACTAAACTTTACACACTCACTTGTCATGCATGAATGGGCCATATGAGCCTTTGGGATTTTTCCTTGGTAATTATTTAAAAATATGTAATAAATGGGCTCAACCCAATAATTCCAATAACCAGTAGCATCAATAGCTATCAGAGGGGGTTCTCCTATTCAGCGTCTAGGTCGCGTGCCAGTGGGAACGCACGCACCCCCCCCACCCCTGCTCCCCCGTGCGAGCAAGTGGGTCTGCCCATATTTACTCCCCGGATTTTTCTTTTTTTTCCTTCTTCTTCTTCTTTTCCTTTCTCTTCTAATTTTTGTTTTTTATTATCTTTTTTATTTTTTATTTTTCGGTTTTTCCAAAGTTGTGAGTATTTTACTAAAATATTGAAAAAAAATCAAATCGATGAACATTTTCTTAAAATCAATTTTTGGTCATTGAATTAAAAAAATTCATCATATTTTAAACATGTTCATGAAACTTCTAAAATAAGTTGAAAAAATTTCAAAAAAAACAATTTTTTTCATCAAACTCAAAAAATGTTCATCGGATTCTCAAAATGTTCTCAAATTTAAATATCGTACATCAACGCGCAATTTTTTGAAACCACGGACATTTTTTGAATCAATGAATGGTTTTTGTGAAATTCATGAATATTTTTGAATTCACGAACATTTTTTCAAATACGCAGCCATTTTTTTCTAAATCATGAACATTTTTTAAACAAGGAACATCTTATGATTTATGGAAAAAAATCGAAAATCCACTTTTTAAAAAAATTAGGAACTTTTTTTCAATTCAGAATAATTGTAAAGAAGAAAAAATAAAAAAACTGGGGCGTCCAGCCCGGCTCATGGGCCGGCCCAATAGGGGCGCGCGGGAGGAGAGAGGGTGCGCGCTGGCATGTTCGCCAACTCCTCACGCGCCAAATAGTAGCTCCCCAACACAGGAAGGAGTAATTTCCCCTCGGACGTTTTTGCAACAGTATAAAGTCACTTATGCTCGAGACCAACATATGTACCCAAAAAGACAAACATATGTATCGACTTGGCAGTGTAAATTTTGTTAGCAGTGACCAGTGAGCTTCTTCACAACCCAATCCTCCTGATCAGCGAGAAAGATATTTCCCAGCATTGCCCCCAAAAGATCTTCCGAACTGCTGCTCTACATACTCCCTCCGTCCGAAAATACTTGTCATCAAAATGGATAATCCATTTTGATGACAAGTATTTCCGGACGGAGGGAGTAGCATTCAGCAACTAAACAATCTTGGCTTTGGGCTGCCTGGGACAGGGCCTGGCAAGGCAAGCATAATTTCCAGGTTATCTTCTGAATGCAACTTCTGAAATGCCAAGGTGCATGAAATGCTTCAGGTTATGCCCTTCACTAAATCCAGCCAGCAATGCTATTCACTGCTAATTACATGCTCCATCAAATAGTGGACATCGTAACCTAAAGTGCTGGGATAAGTGTGCTAATTCACCCGCTCCTGATTCCTGAACCTTTCTCTAACTGTATTTGTTAAATAATAAAAAAATGCTGCCCATTAGCGCACAATGCCACCATGGTAGTCATCGCCAAGCAAATAATATTACCAAAATAAGAGATCTTACAAAACATTCTTGTAAACATCACAATATCACAAAAAATTGGCTAATTATAGTGCCATGCAAGGGAAGTGGCGGAAGAAGGCCGGGGTCGCAGGGGAGGCAATTAGAAAGAAGAGTGAAAGGGCAAGGAAATGACGACGTCCCGAATACACTACCTGATAACAAGATGTGCCCACAAGAACATTAGTTCGAATCAAATATGAGAGTCAACAGTAGATACTACTCCCTCCGTTCCTAAATATAAGTCTTTATAGACATTTCACTATGGACCACATACGGATGTATATAGATGCATTTTAAAGTGTAGATTCACTCATTTTGCTCCGTATGTAGTTCATAGTGGAATCTCTATAAAGACTTATATTTAAAAACGGAGGGAGTACACAGCACAAATGCAAGCGATGTCGATTTGACTAGTTCCACACAGATTGCTGAAATAACGGCAGCAGCAGTTATCAGAAGCGGATACAAATTCATTCCGACTAGTTTCTACACGGACCACAGCCCACAGCATGGAAGATGGAAGAACCTGCAATAGTAAGACGACATCGCTACATCTCAGCTACCGGAACATAACTCTAGATACCTGCAGGAAAAATAAGTTAATCAGCCAAACTAAACTGTATTATCCATTCAATGCACGCCATTCCAAGAAATGGTAAGTGGAAATCATTGCCATTGTTCAACTTGAAAATAGAGTCTTTTCATACCATTAGACAGAGACAACATTTCAAACAGAGTAGAGATAGAACAACACGAGAATGGATTATTTTTATTGGAACATTTCTATTCTTGACGTGTTTTAGCAATCAACTACTACGGACACTTATTGCAGCTAGTGTTGGCTGGACACTTATTGCAACTACTATGATATAGTATGGATCTAGTGATTATCTTGGCTTCCCTCCTATGACATCGATGCATAGAACGCCAAAAATTCTCAACAACCATATATCTATGAACTCCATAACATGTTGCAAGTATATCTATGATTAAAATTACGGCACTGCATTCAAAGAATTACTAAAGCAGTCAAAGAGATCAATGCTGCAGCTATGCACATAATATTACCAAATAGTACTACGATATACACATATGAATATAAGAAAGAAACAAAGATTTAATGGATGATTGAACCACCAGGATAACACTAATAAGGATATAAAAGGCACTAATTCCAGCATCCTATTGTCCCATTATCAAAAAGCAAATGTGTTTAGTTATGCATGACATTACCTGCAACACAGAAACTCTCAAATGGATGAAAGATACAGAGATCCCTCCTTTCATGAATCTTCTTAAACCTCAGAGGGTTGAGATAGACCACGAAGATACCGATCCTAGATGCCCCAGCCACGAACGCATTGCTGTCCTCGGAAAATCCCAGCAAAGACAGTGGACCTCTGTTGTGCTCAGCATTCAGTGAAAGAAGCTTGCCCAGTTGAATAGTTATCCCCGGCACCCATATAGCGACACCATTGCAATCAGCCCCCCTCTTCCATAATTTGGCATAGAAGTCATTCACAAGGATCAAGCCAAGCCCACCATCCTGCGCTGGCATAGTCATGAAGGAGCTGGATTTATCATGGTCATACAGATCTAGTGGCATCTCTATCATAGCCAGGCTCCGGCTACCCATATCGAACTCGACGATGGTGTCGCCATTGCCACGAAGCAGCCAGTAGATGGAGCTCCCAACCAAGGTACTGGGGACGTACATGTACAGCTCGGATGCAGTATACAGAGGCTCCATTGCGGCAGGTTGAAACTCTGCTGAAATCACATCGCCCCATGCGCCTGTCTGCGATGAGTAGACGCAGACCGAGAAGGATCGCTCATGTGTTCTGCCAGAGGCCAGCAGCACCACCTTGAATGGGCTGGAATTGAAGCTGCCGTGCAGGCGGCCTTCCGCGGCGGCGGCGCTGGCGCAGAGCACTGACCCATTGTGGAGCATCACCTGCCGCCCCTTGAAGGCCGGGGGGAGGTCCACAGGGCGCTTGTCTCCGGTCACCGGATCCCACGCCAGGAGCTATCTGACCCGCCGGTTGAGGAGGAGGGCGTGGCCGTGGCGGCAGTCGAGGACGAGGGGGAAGGCGAGGGGGGCGAGCGGCATGGGGAAGCGCGCGGCGGGTACCCTGTCGGGCGGGTCGAGGGAGGGCGTGAATAAGGGGTGGCTCATGTCGACCTCACCGGGGAAGACGACGAGGAGGGGGAGGCTCCCGTGGCGGGCGCGGAAGAGGCGGAGGAAGCGGCGGCGCTTGACGAGGCCGCGCCAGCGCTTGCTGACGAGGGAGGCGCGGAGGAGGGAGGATGGCTGCGGGGGGAGGCGGAGGAGGATCTCCTCGAGGAGGTCGTCGTCCTCGAGCGGAGGCACCGGCGCCGGCGCCGGCGACGGCGACGGCGGGGTGGGGCGGCGGCAGGCCATGGAGATGGAGATGGAGGAGGGTTTCTCTGTTCCAGAATATTCCACTCCATTCCGCTCGCTCTCACTTCACTGTAGAGAGCTACTACTAAAAAATGCCGCAAGTTTGGGCCAGATGGGCCAGGCCCATGTACCTCACTGTGTGGTGCACTTATGCCTAGTTTTAGCATCACCCGTTCAAGATAATTCCACTCAATTCTATCATATGCTTTCATCATATCAAGTTTCAAAGCATAGAATCTGTTACTCTTTACCTTCCTCGTTTTCATGTAGTGGAGACATTCATAAGCAGAGATGAAATTATCCGTGATAAGACGTCCCGGTACGAATGCTGATTGTTCCTCAGAGTTGATATCGGGGAGAATGAGCTTAAGCCGATTAGCTAGAACCTTTGACGCAATCTTGAAGATCACATTGTAGAGGCTTATCGGTCTAAATTGTCCTAAATCTTTTGGACTTGCAATCTTGGGGATTAAAACAATGAACGTTTTGTTTATCTCCTCCGGGAAATCCTCTCCCTTTAGAACACTAGCATCATATCAGTCACCTCATCGCCGCACAACTCCTAGTGCCTCTGAAAGAAGTGTGCAGGAAAGCCATCGGGCCCTGGAGCCTTGGTAGGAAACATTTGGAACAAAGCCGCTTTCACCTCGGCGTTGGTATATTGAGCGTTAAGCATGTCATTCATGGCAGCATCCACCCTAGGTGGTATATGAGATAGTACTTCATCAATGTAGATCGTGTTTTCAGAAGCATACAGATTGATGTAGAAATTTGTTGTCATGCTTGGCATCTCTTGATCATCCACACAGACCGTGCCATCTGCACGTTGCAATTCACAGATACGGTTCCTTGCTTTGCGAGCACTGGCCTTCCGATGGAAAAATTTGGTATTGTTGTCTCCCTCCGCCAACCACTGAATGTGAGCCCGTTGATGCCACATGATCTCCTCACATAAACAAAGCTCGGACATGCGGGCTTCTACACGTTCCTCTTCCGGCGATGGACCCCCATGGTCGGGAAGAGCTCGTAGTTCTGCAAGCTTTGTTCGAAGCGACCGCTGCTCGGTTTTGATAGCACCAAAGGTGGTTCGGCCCCACTTGCGCAGCGTACCGGCCACAAAAGCAAGTTTGTCGGACAGAGCCGCAACAGTATTGGCCTTTCCAGAAGTGTTCCAAGCTTCAGCTACCACATCCCCAAAACTTGGATCACGCTCCCACATGCATTCATACGGAAACTGCTTCTGCTTTGCTCTCACACTCGAGTCCACAAAATCCGTTTGTAATAAGATAGGGAAGTGGTTAGATTTAGCCGCTGTTAGGTGTTCCACCGAGGCAAACGGAAAGAGGGCCGGCCATTCAGCCGTACCCAGAGCTCTGTCCAACCTTACCCTGCAAAAATAACCTCCTGACACTTTCTTCTCCCAAGTCCAATCCAAACCATGGTAATCCAAATCAGCCAGTCCACAAATATCCACAGCCTCTCTGAAAGCGTCAATCTATGCACTGTCACGCTCATTTGGGCCAAATTGTTCCTCAGGCCGCAAAATTTTATTGAAGTCCCCAATGCACATCCATGGAAGCGTGCTCTCTCCTCTCAACCTTGTCATTGTGTTCCAGGTTTTGTATCGGAGAGATCTTGTTGCTTCTCCGTAAAAGCATGAAAGACGCCACTGTTCCCTTCCTGGTTCAAGCACCCATGTGTCCACATGATACTCCGAAAAATTCTTTATTTCAACATCCACCGAGTTTTTCCAGAAGATACAGACACCTCCACTGCAACCATGACTACCAACAGCAAAACTGAAATAAAAACCTAAAGAAAAACGAAGACCTTCCACATGATTTTTTTGTAACTGAGTTTCAACTAAGCAAAGAATAGACGGCGAACTAAGCTCCACCAGGTCGCGGAGTTCATGAACTGTCGCAGGATCGCCTATCCCGTGACAGTTCCAGCTTAAAAGTTTCATTGGGCTTGGCGGTGCTCCGAGGAGGAGCCCGCCAACAACACCATCTTGTTAGTTCCTTGCTTCACTGGTGACCCTGTCTTCTTTGCTTTCTTGGCATCCCTAGGAGAAACATATGCTGGAGGCGGCGGTGGGACTGCCGCTGTGGACGCATCAATAGTGACTAGAGCCTTGCTCCTCTCCAGCCCTTCAACATCAACTCTGTTGTCCTTCAACACAAGATTAAGGTTACGACGAACAGATTCAGTAGCTTGCACTTCCTGCCTTGCCTCTCCAGCCTTAAGGGGGCTAGTAACTTCTGGTTCTTCCGCAGCCGAATCAAAACCTGCGTCCTGGGATGAGCGCTTGCGTGGTGGAGACCGCTGGCGTGTATTGTTAGCCCGACCTGTTCTACCTCTTCCTCTACCGCCTGAACGACCCCCTCGAGGAGCCCATCCACCATGCTGCTCCGGTGCAACGTCCCTTCTTTGTGCCAGCATCCAGCTCCCCCACTGCTTATCTTTCTCCTCCCAAACACCATCGCCACACTCCTCGTGGTTATGGCCCATGAAACCACAAACCTTGCAAAAATACGGGATCTTCTCATACTTCACCAGGAGGCGAAGTCTTCCTTCTCCCGCGACATTTAGCGGCGTGACCCGTGTTAGAGGTTTGCTGACAAGAACCCTAGCTCGAACCCTCACATAATCTCCCTCATCAAACAAGCGAGGCGCGAGCTGCACTTCTTTTACCCTTCCAATACGACGGGCGAGTTGATCAACAACCTCCGCTTTGCGGTAGAGCTCTGGTATGTTATGGATCTGAGCCCACACGTATAAACCATCAAATTCAAAACATGTTGGCTCCTTCTTCCCATCGTAGTCTTCTATCAGCATCCCCATCCCCCTGAAAAGCCATGGGCCTCCATGCACTACCTTCTTCCAATCCCCAAGACAAAACATCTGAAAGATGAACAGATTTTCTCCTGCCTCTCTGTACGTCGGGACGTGTGCCTGTGACCAGATCGATTTCATGCACTCGAACATCGCCGATGAACTGAAAGTGCGAGTAGTGTTTGTTGGGGAACGTAGCAGAAATTCAAAATTTTCCTACGTGTCACCAAGATCTATCTATGGAGAAACCAGCAACGAGGGAAGGAGAGTGCATCTACATACCCTTGTAGATCGCTAAGCGGAAGCGTTCAAGAGAACGGGGTTGAAGGAGTCGTACTCGTCGTGATCCAAATCACCGGAGATCCTAGTGCCGAACGGACGGCACCTCCGCGTTCAACACACGTACAGCCCGGTGACGTCTCCCACGCCTTGATCCAGCAAGGAGAGAGGGAGAGGTTGAGGAAGACTCCATCCAGCAGCAGCACAATAGCGTGGTGGTGGTGGAGGAGCGTGGCAATCCTACAGGGCTTCGCCAAGCACCTGCGGGAGAGGAGGAGGTGTCACGGGAGGGAGGGAGGCGCCAGGGCCTCAGGTGTTGCTGCCCTCCCTTCCCTCCACTATATATAGGGGCAAGGGAGAGGGGAGAGGCGCAGCCTTGCCCCTTCCTCCAAGGAAGGGGTGCGGCCAAGAGGGGGGGGAGGAGTCCATCCTCCCCAAGGCACCTCGGAGGTGCCTTCCCCCTTGAGGACTCTTCCCTCCCCAAGTTTCCTTGGCGCATGGGCCTCTTGGGGCTGGTTCCCTTGGCCCATATAGGCCAAGGCGCACCCCCTACAGCCCATGTGGCCCCCCGGGGTAGGTGGACCCCCCGGTGGACCCCCGGACCCCTTTCGGCACTCCCGGTACAATACCGATAAAGTGCGAAACTTTTCCGGCGACCAAAATAAGACTTCCCATATATAAATCTTTACCTCCGGACCATTCGGAACTCCTCGTGACGTCCGGGATCTCATCCGGGACTCCGAACAACATTCGGTAACCACATACAAACTTCCTTTATAACCCTAGCGTCATCGAACCTTAAGTGTGTAGACCCTACGGGTTCGGGAGACATGTAGACATGACCGAGACGTTCTCCGGTCAATAACCAACAGTGGGATCTGGATACCCATGTTGGCTCCCACATGTTCCACGATGATCTCATGGATGAACCACGATGTCAAGGACTCAATCGATCCCGTATACAATTCCCTTTGTCCAACGGTATTGTACTTGCCCGAGATTCGATCGTCGGTATACCGATCCCTTGTTCAATCTCATTACCGGCAAGTCTCTTTACTCATTCCATAACACATCATCCCGTGATCAACCCCTTGGTCACATTGTGCACATTATGATGATGTCCTACCGAGTGGGCCCAGAGATACCTCTCCGTTTACACGGAGTGACAAATCCCAGTCTTGATTCGTGCCAACCCAACAGACACTTTCGGAGATACCTGTAATGCACCTTTATAGCCACCCAGTTACGTTGTGACGTTTGGTACACCCAAAGCATTCCTACGGTATCCGGGAGTTGCACAATCTCATGGTCTAAGGAAAAGATACTTGACATTAGAAAAGCTTTAGCATACTAACTACACGATCTTTGTGCTAGGCTTAGGATTGGGTCTTGTCCATCACATCATTCTCCTAATG